CTTCTCAATCCAATCTCCACCTTTCGTTTGTGACTCTACACCCTACATAGCCACACTGAGTTGTCACTGTTGGAGAAGTTTAAAGTGGCCAGCCTCCTTTAATTTGCCCCTCTTCTATACGTAGGACCCTGGAACGCCTCCATCCTCCGTGGTGTATCCACATGCAGTTAGTTCATAGATAGCATCGATGGTTTGTTGGAGAGTTCCTAGCTTTTGAAAATGATCCTTCAAATAGGTCGGTTTCACTCGAATTTGCTCTTTCTGTGATTATGAAACTGATAATGATTCCCAAAACTTAATAATATTATTATTGCTCCTTGTGCGGAATACTTTGAGGAAATGAGAAAGAAAAAACAAGTAAGAATAACGTAATTGTAAGTATTGGTGCTAAGAAGTAGAGTGTGGCCTTAGGTATTCTTCTTTCTGTGGCATGTCCTTTTCCCATTTCGCACTCCACTTTTTTTTTCTCGCGTCTCGGTCGCACTCATTCGCTCAGGCCTTCAAGTTTCACAAATAACCAAATAGCCCTAAGTAGTTTCTCTCATGCATCGATTATAGTGCTTCACGTGCATGTGCTGAATTAGTGATTGAAAAGGGCCCGAGTTTGCTCACGAGGTAGAGAGACACTTGAAAGTGGCATTTCAGGATGTTCTTGGACAGGTGCTGTTGGCAGGTGTTGTGAAACGAGACTGGCATAATTATCATCATCATCGCGTTCAATACTAACTGTGCAAGATTCCATTTTAAATCACAGTTAATGTGGAAGACCCCATCCTCCGCCTCACCTCACCCCCACCTCCCTCCAACACACACAGACATATTATTGTTATTCTAAACGGACTTGATGACTTGATAAGGTGCCTAGACACTGGGTCAGTGGGAAGAGTCGCAGTTGGCGTTTATGTAATATCTTACAGGATAAAGAAACAGCTGCCTGTTGTGGTCAGCATGTGCAAATACGTGAAACCTTGAGTGGGTCTCGGGTGGGGGGGTGGGTGGAATGGGGAGCGAGGAGAGAAAAGAGGGATGTTCTACTTTATTTTGACCACATTTCTCAATTATATCTATCCTTTGTGCGCTTATGATATATAATCTATGGGAGTCGAAATATTATGAATATATATATATATATATATATATATATATATATATATATATATATATATATATATATCTATATTATTTCTATAGAGATATATATATATATATGTGTGTGTGTGTGTGTGTATGTGTGTGTGTGTGTGCGCGCGCGCACGCGCGTGTATAAAAATATAAAATATATATTGACTTATATATATGTATACATATAATATCATATTTATGGTTGTATGAATACATCATTATAAATACAATATCTTTTTTATCCCGTGTTTAATGCCGTGTTCCCCCCAGTCATCAATCTCTCTCTATATCTTTACATGTTTTTCTTCTCCAGTTGTGGTCCTGTTCCTAGATATCGATGACCAACTGACCATTCTGGCCCGCGCCTCAGCCAAAGAGATGACCAAACATCATATTTTCTTCTCCTTCCCGCGCACGCCCTATGACCCGACGTCTCTTAGCCTCCTGGCACTGACCCCGCCCATCACAGGTCAAGGTCGATTCTCAGCTGACGCCACTACGCAAGGGATCAACATTTTCGAGAGTGTCTTCGTCGTGACGCCCACTTTTCCCCCTGAGGCAACAGTGTCTTCGGCAAACAGTACAGACACACAAAGTGGCTCTAGGAGGAGGAGGAGAAGGAGGAGAAGGAGATCCACGGAAGCAGCGGGCGGTGGCACGCCTCTGTACTTCGCGAGTGGTCGTGAAAGTCACAATGTGGTTATGAACAAACATCACGGTGGAGGGGACGGGCGGAGAGAGAACCGTCTCGTGGGCAAAGGTCAAGTAGGGCAAGGGGCTTTACAAACTCTCACATACAGACAGAGGAAAAAAGATCCTCACTTTGACTTCCCCCCTGAAAACAGTGAAACAGTTTCTAAAGATAGTGGTGAAAAAAGTTACAAAAACCGGGACAAAAACTGTAGTGGTGAAAACGGTGGTAAAAACCGTAACATATTTCTTCCTGACATTACATACAAAACTCTTCCGAGCTCCCCTATGTTTGATAGACCCCGTTCTCCCATCCGTGTTGGCAAAGATGTTGAATATGTTGTACAAAGTGACACCCAAGCAATCTCTTCCATAAACCAAGCCCTTTCTCCAGGAGTGTATGTGCCTACCAAACGTTCAAGTGAGAATAAACCCTTCCCTTTCGCGCAGGCGCGAAATAGGCGTCCCCTGTTTGAAGATGTCAAACACCAAATTCCACAATTTGTCAAAGGAGGTTCATCAGGTGCTGTAAAACAATCCGAAGATTCCAGTACTTTAGACACTTCCAGAGACAAAGTAAGCCACACGGGCTCTTCCCCGCAACGTCCGAATACTTTACTTTTTGAAAGCGAAGACAGTTCACACTCCGTCTTGGACACCGACATTTTAGAGAAGGACAAAGACGAACCATCATCACCATCATCATCAAAACTCCGCTACAAGAGAGAGATACAGAAGTTTGTCGCCAGTGGCTCGGACCTGAGTGCCATCTACGACGCTGTCTATCTCGTCTCCCTGGCCGCCCTGCGCGTTGCCAGTAACTCCAGCTCTGTCCCCTCCGGCGAACAGCTGATCCGGTCAGTCTACGACCAAACCTTTCCCGGCGACTTGGGCCAGTTCACCATAGATCAGCAGCAGGCCGTTCTCTTTGACTTTGTCCTGTACGACTTCAACTCCTCCTCGGGTACCTTCCACCCACGCGTGTTCTACGAGGCCGTCTCCAGCTCTGATTGGCTGCTCACCGAGCAGGGCGCCATTTCCTGGCCGGGCACCATCGTTCCTGGGGATGAGTGCTACAAGCAGATGCCAAACTGTAACGAAGGTAATGACTCCACTCTCCACCAACTATTTTCCTTTATGTTTGTGATTAATAATAATCTTATTGTAGACGCTTTTCGTCCCCATCGACACGATTTAGATCATTAAAGATGCTGGCTTTAACCCTGCCTCATAGGGCCAACACATGTGAGAGGGATACAACAGTATCTCGACAGAAAGACCGAGATATGCGATTTTCTGGAATCATCCATAGGGGGGGGGAGAGACATTCCCAACTGGTGACTTAACCACTCAGTTCTTTGATGTTTAATATCATTTTACTCCTTGACGAGTTTCATCTCTGTAAATTACGTCCATATTATATGTCCATTATTATGATGTTCGTATCTAATGATTTGCTGCCAATAATGTGAATAAACATGATCAAATGTGTCAATGGTGGTGCAAAACATTGACTAATTCACTATTTCTCCATTACTTCATTATGATCAACTAAAGACTCAGAAGATTTGAACTTTTGTCTCTTTTTCAGGTGTCGAGATTTCTTATATCATCGCTATTGTTATCGCTGCTATTGGTATCATTGTTATCGCCGCAGTGGTTATCGTCTTCATCAGGTAAGTGTCTTTTCTTGTTGTTGAGGGTAAAACAAGAGGAGGATTGGACTAAGTTGAGTGAATTTGATGGGTGCTTTTTCACTTTTTTGGTTTATGTTTGCGTCTCTTCTGACTATTATGTGGGTGTTTGAAGATTATCGATAGCAGTTATTATTCCTATTCTTTCTCATAGTCGTGTCTGTCTGTCTGTCTGTCTGTCTGTCTGTCTGTGGTTAGAGGATGTCACTGGTAGGTAAACGTAAAAAACAACGTGCATACTGGGGGCTAATATGACCCTATACAATTGCAAGCGTCGTAATATGTTTCCAAATCAGTGTCTGTCTTACCATAGTCGTGCACAAAATGACTGCTATCATATTTCGAGCCTCATTCCCTTTTGGCATCCATCAGTAAAACTGCATGAGCGTAAAACAAACGCTCGTTCTCTCTTGCTCTCGCTTTCTCTCTCTCTCTCTCTCTCTCTCTCTCTCTCTCTCTCTCTCTCTCTCTCTCTCTCTCTTTCTCTCTCTCTCACACACACACACACACACACACACACACACACACACACACACACACACACACACAAACACACATAATCACACACAGACTCACTCACACGAATACGCATATGCACACGCATACACACATACACAAACAAGCACACACACAAGCAAGCAAACAAACAAACAAACGCACATACCCCCCCCCCCCCACACACACACGCATACACACAGAGACACAGAGACACTCACCCTTTTTATATCCCACATTTCTCACCTCACCCTATCTCCCTCTGTGTGGCACGGCCTTTGAAAACCGTCCAGTCACGTGACTGTCCTCGGAACACATCCGTCACTGGGAGCCAGATAAACAAGCCAGGTGCTGACCACTTCCGGGTACATCACGTGATCAATAATTTTGAACAATATGGTCGCTGATGAAGACGGGCGAATATTGAAATACGATCAAGGGGTTTCTAGAATAAAAATGAGATAAAAAGACTCTATAATGCTGTTATTTTTATAACAAACTATCTTTTAAAAAAATAACAATTTCCGTGAAACTGCTTTGGTGTAATTGTCAGGGTATTTATCTTTCGCCGCACGCGAAAAACGCGCGTCAGAGACGAATTTTTTTTCTGCGGGGTATCTCCAAGGCATTCGGGAATGAATTTTTAAAAATATAAACACTGTATAATGATTTGCAAAATAATGACTCAATATAACATAAAAGTGGATGTTCTGTGGGTGCTCTGGTGTGGTTTGCTTCTTATTTCCTATCAAATATATATCACCGTTATCTCATCTCCTTCATTTTTTGTGTATGTTACACTCCAGTCTTCGCACTAATATGACGTAATTGTGTTGCAGGTGCAGCAAAACTTGTACCAAACCTAACTTTAAACAAAATGAAAGACACCACATTATCTGGTTGCCAAATTTCAGTGAAGCCCCACCCCCACCATTTTGTTTTGGCCGTATTTTGTTTATAGCTTTGGTTTATATTAATTTCTTATTTCTTATTTAAATAATAACATACCCAACCAGGGTTTGCGATGTAACGGTTGAGCGCCGGACCGCCACATGCAGAGGGTCTATTTGATTCATGCATTGGGTGAGTTAGATAAATTCTTATTGAATATCTCCGTCTGTATGCTGGGACGTGATATCCCTTTCAATCCGGGTTGAATATAAAAGGCAGAGTCGAAGTAGCCCGCATTCAGTATAATTCAAATAGTGCCGATGTGGGTGTAAAAACTCCATAATTATAGATACCATATTTACAGACATCTATTATCTATTTGTGGTGGCCGAATTTTGCTATTCAAAAGGCTTTTTAATGGCCGCATCGATCGATATGCGGTTTTCGCCAAAAGATTCTTTAAAATATATTCTCCAGATCATGACGCCCTTGGTTTTTTTCAGTTTTGAGACAGTTTTGCTGCAAAAAGCTAAATTTCTTTAGTTCGCCAATCGCTTTTGTAGGCTGACGCTTCTGTCTCTGTAATTTTAGAAAATCCGGAAGTGATATTTTGCGAGGCGCATTTTGTTTTGAAAGTATAGATCTAGACCTTCGAATTCTTTGCATCTCTCAAGATTTATTGCCCCATTCCAGTAGAGTGTAAGTAAATATAGTAGGCCAATTACTTTTAGTTGATATTATAGCACCGATCATTCCTTTCATCGAAAGGGGGCCCAGCTAGTATTATATATTTATTATATACAACAGCGCATTCCCCTCTCTAGGTTGCAACCCATCTAAACGTTGTGTCAACGACACTGCTTGACATTGTTTATAAGCCGAAGCTCAGTAACTCCTCACTTGGCCTCTTGATACCTTATAATAGCATCCAATACTGCGGTTTGAGCAATGGGAAAGTATGGGGAGCCCGTCTTCTATGCCAAAGTCAGTTCTTTTTCTCTCTTACTCTGTTACTCTCTCTATCTGTCTCTGTTTGTCTGTATGTCTCTCTCTCTCTCTCTCTCTCTCTCTCTCT